TTCGAACTAGCGGGGGTAATGTAGTCATCTGCAGTTGCAAATGAAGCCCGGGATTTGAATTTCCCGGGCTTCATTTGCATGAAGCCAGCTGGAGCCATTTTTAAATGCCGGCTAGTTCGAACCCCATGCCGCGTGTAACCTAATCCGAACTAGCTGTACACCTCGTTCCACGAGGGACTTGCAGGGCTTGGGCTAAGGGGCTGTTTAATTGCAATTTAGATGTTCAGACTCAGGTGGGAGCCCAAACTCTAGGACCCTGCAAGGTGGGAGGATCCCAGAGCCCAAAGGATAAACAGCCCCTTTAGCTCCAGCAGCCTGAATCAACTGGCACAGGCCAGCTCCCGGTGTCTGAGTGCAGTGCCTGGCAGACCGGAACATCTGGGTATTGTTCTCTGTAGAGGGTGGTACATGTCTAGCAACCTGCCTCCCCCCCACTGTGACAAGGCCTGGTTGGAAACTATTAATCCCTGTTTGGGATCTAGCGCTGTCCTTTGAGATCCCTCAGGGCCTTTTACAAACATTCAGGCTTTTTCTATACATGGCATCAGTCTGATTCTATCAAAGATGACCAGCAGCTAGGATAATCGGTAGTGGTGGAAAACCCCCAGGTGTAGAGAAGGAAAGCTGCTGTTTGTACTGGTTGGGCTTACGTTGGCTTCAAGAAGCCATGAACCCAATTGGAACAAAATAGTCCTCTCCGTGCCTGCCCTTGCAGATTGGCATGGCTGCATTGCTGTGATTGCTTGCAGGCCATCATTTGCTAACTCCTAAGCATGAGCGCTTGACTAAAGAGCGATCTGCCTATTACCTCTCCTAAAAGAGTAACCGTTTGCATCCTTGGCTCCAAATGTCTGTCCTTGCTGACATGAAGCATTTTTACTTTGCCCAGAGACCTAGTTTAATTTGGTAACAAACATCCAGCATTCACTAGAGAGGTCTATCATTTTTGGCTGTCAGCCTGCACCCTCCTTTGCAGCACATAGTCAGAACCCTTCTCTGCTGTGGCGTGGGAAATGGATGAATGCAAAGCAGTGAGTGGGTCGTTCAAACATCCCGGAATCAGTGTTCTAATTAGAGAGAGCCAGCGAGGGGGATTATACGCTGAAGAATGTGTTGGTGTTTTTCTTCCAAGCTGCTGTTTTGTCAGTAGCTAGAATGTGTCAAAGGAAAGTGTGGACAGACATCAACCTTTCTGTTTGAAGGAGAATAGAAAGAGGTGAGATTTGTTTTGCTGTGTTTGCAATTAAAGATCATCTGGAGCTCTATCTGGGAATCATCTCAGTTGCTTTCTGTAACACAAAGATTAGGCTTTATTGATGTGTGTAAGTCATCAGCCACCAACTGTATTTGGTCTTTCAGAATTTAATCCACTGCCCCAAACAAAGTGTGTTGCTTTTCTCTGTTCATATCCCCAGGGGCTGGCCTGTGAAGTTCCCTTCGCAACTTTGCCCCATCTTGATTTAGAACAAGTTGATTTCCCATCTTCCTATCTTGTCAAGATCAGGGTTGGACTTCCTCTGTGCTGCGTAGGAAATAGCATAGTCTCTTGGACCGAGATGGGCTCGTTGGAGAGCAATTTTGTTTTAGTCGTGACAGACTTTCAGAAGTCAAAGCCCACATATGAAAGCATTTGGGAGGTGGTATCACAGAAAACATCTTGCAGAGATTTCTCCCAGTCCTTTCCTGTACATTGTTATCATAGCTCAGTCTCCTGCCCAGCTTTTAAACTCCCCACAGTTCAGAGAAGAAGAAGAAAGACAGTTTTCTGTTAAAAACACAGTTACTTTTTTTTAAGTATTTACAACTGTTGGTAGACCATGCATGGAAATATCAAAATGCTGTGTCCTTTGTAGACTACTTTCTGTTTGCTTGACCAGCATCGCTTGCAGATGGAACACTTTAGGGATGGCAAATGCAACAGATAGGAAAAGGTTAGGAACCTTTGATGGGAGTAGCTAGGACATGAGTCTTGGAAAGGAATGTAATAGTATAGTCGATTAAACAATAAGCAAAAGCTTATAGGTAAATTCTATAGTCTACTCACATTCTCCCCCTCCCCCCTCCCCCCAAGTGTGCCTCAGTTTCCCCAGCCTGGGACACACCAAAGAGCCAGAGCAGGGTGTGGCGGGGGGGGCATTGGGGGGGAGGGCCCCCCCCCCCCCCCATTTTGGAAAGCACCAAGGAGCCAGAGCAGGGCCTGGCAGGGGGCTGAACTCAGGGCGTGTTTTCCCCAAGCGTGCCTCAGTTTACCCAGCCTGGGCAGCGTCAAGGAGCTAGAGCAGAGCCTGGCAGGAGGGTAGGAGAGGAGTAAATGTGGGGCGTTTTCCTCCAAGCGTGCCTCAGTTTCCCCAGCCTGGGAAGCACCAAGGAGCCAGGGCAGAGTCTGACAGGGCTCCAGGCTCTACCGACCCACAACGAGGGGAAGCCGGTGGCCTGGGCCCCAGATGCTGGGCATGGGGCAGAGGCCAACCCCAGAGCTGTAGAACAAAGGGGGCAGGTGGCTTGGGGCAGGGCGGGGCCATGGGGAGAGAGGCTGGTGTCTGCAGGCAGAGGGACAGAGCCAGCGAGCCTGTGATCAAGAGGGAATTTTTGGTGATGGCTGCATGGCCGTGCCTCAGTTTCCCTGCGTAAGTTGCCTGGTTCCCCCATGGGTGCCAAAGGGGCAGGTGGGGTGAACCCGGCCCAGATCAACTGAGACACCAGGGAGCTGTGGAGGCAGCCAGGGCCAAAGAGCAGTGGGGCCAGCCCGGCCAAGGGGTCCGCCCCCTGCAGCAGGGATTAGCTACTCACCCTGGGAGGTGTACGCGCAGAGGGCGAAGCGCAGGGCGTCTGTACCGCACTCTGGGATCCCAGCAGGGTAATCGCTTTTCTGGGGGTGTGGGAAGAGGGGTGAATCAATTCCCAGTCAGCCCCGCAGTTCCCCACCCCCAGGAACCCCCCAGCTCAGTATCCCACTGCTGCCACCACAACTCCGTCCACGTGGGCCCAACCACCCAGGTATCCCACTCCTACCACCATAACTCAGTCCCAATGGGTCCAGTCAACCCCGCAGCTCCCCAACCCCAGGAACCCCCCCCAGCTCAGTATCCCACTTCTACCACTGCATCTCAGTCCCCATGGATCCCACTACTGCCACCACAGCTCAGTCCCCCATGGGCCCAACCATCCATGTATCCCACTCCTGTCACGACAGCTCAGCCGTCCCTGCCCCCCAAGTTCCTACTTCTCCCCAAGCTCCTCACCTGGCCCTGCTTGGCTCGCTCTACCTCCGCTGGCTCCAGGTTGCTCTCCAGCAGCTGCGCATGCAAGCCCTGAAGGGGGAGAACAGACATGGGCCCAGCTGATTGGAGAATCCCATTGGTCGTTAACTCTGAACCCTACCGATGGGCAAGTCCACTGCAGATTCAGGCGGCCGCAGGGAAGCACCGAACATCCAGGCTGGTAACATCCGGGGGACAGGTAGGACCAGATGGACCCTCACCAACCGGCTCCCCTCCCCGTGGTTACCTCCAGCGTGATCCCGCTGATCACATCCAGCGGGTCGATGACGTTGCCCAAGGACTTGCTCATTTTCCTGCCGTGGGCGTCGCGGACGACAGCGTGAAGGTAAACCTGAAACATAGCGGGTGGGGCAAGTCAGGGTCACCGCAGGGGTGCAGGGGGTGCCGAGTGGGGGGGGGGGGGGGGGACCA